ATAACTTTTATATATATATTTTTTAAATATATTTGCAATGCTGATTACAGTTTAAACGCATCATCACAGTCTTGTGAAAAGGGTCTGTTGTGTTCATGTTGAACTGCAAAACCCTTTTGTTGCTATTGAGATGGGATATGGGTTTGGGACAGGTCTGGTTGTTTTTTTGTTTTTTTTTTATCTGAAATGTCATAAAAGTAAATTGGATTGTGGACGTTTAATTAGTGCAGTGAACTCCCAGACGCCTTTGTGATGTCATGATGAGGAAGTGAGGTACAGTGGGTTGCTAGGCGACAGCATTGGCGGGGAGGTGGTGGGGTTCAGTTGTTTCGCTGGCTGGTTCCTACAGAGAGATGCTGGAACACAGACCCTCTCACACCAATTACACCTAATGATTCCAGAGCCTCCCCTAACGCCACACACACACACTCCACAGCAGTCACCCCTTTTAGAGACATCACGGCAGAGCGCACACAAAATTACTCACATATACACGCTCTCGCCAGCAGTTATGCCTATATTCCCCGTTTGATGTTCCTTTGAAATATTGCTGTCATATCTATATATCTCCACCTGGCTGACTGGCATCATGTATTCGGCCAAGGTTTGATAAAAACACTTTCACACATTATATTTTCCATCCCTCATACATTTCCAGAGAGATTGGTATATTCAAAGCTGTCTGTACATTATGAAGGGCTGTAGTAATATTCTACACATCGCTGTCATACAAACACATTCAAATGACAGCCTTTCTGATGTTTTTATTAAGTACACTGGCTATTCAAGATCAGCTTTTCTGTGGTGCATTAGAGAAGTCGCAATAAGAAGTCAGGTTAAGAGTGAAGTAATCTGTTATTAATTATTAATATTTTGATTTTTTTTAGATTGTAATGGATGGTTTTACTAATTAATTAGACTGAACAGCCATACAGTACACATTTTATTTTATGTTATTTTACCTCAAATACTCCAATTCTCAATGTCACATGATCCTTCAGAAATCATTCTAATATGCTGAGTCGGTGCTCTATTCTTTATTATGCTTTTTTATTTGAAATATAAATCTTACATTATAAATGTTTTACTGTTAGTTTTGATCAGTTAAATGTGTCTTTGCTGAGTAAAAGTATACGAAATTAAAAAATCGCACTGACCACAAACTTTTGAACAGTACTATATACATGTGTGTATATATTATTTATTTTTATTAATATTAACTCTTCTAGAAAATAATGGCCTAATGAAAGTGCATTACAATCATTGTGATCTTCACAGTGTTGCTTAATTTGACATCACCAGCAAAATCATTGCAAATATACAATGAATAAATACGCAATACATTGCACAACCTCCATTATCAGCCAAATCAAAGAAAGCACACTCATTTTTAACAAAACCCTTATTTGGATGATTTTTTTTCTAGTTGAAATTAAGCATTGTTAATTGAAAGCATATTTTGCAAGTTGTTCCACCCAGCACTGATTAGTAGAAACCGAAATTTGTGAACACTTGCACTGACTTTCTGTTTCGTGTAATGACTGAAGTCTGTGAACACTGAACTGCATATTTCTCTGGAGGACAAATCTTTGACTATTGTCTTTTCTGCAATGATGTTTGGTGAGATAAATGAGCTGCGTTATGAAAATTGGTTTAATCAAAAGCTCGGGGATAATAATATCTATATCCGGGATAATTCTCTCCTCTCGACAATAGTTTGCTCAAATGCAAATAGCACAAGTGCAGCACTTATTTCCTTATAAATATGCATGTCGTGTAATCATATGCTGATTTATAAAACAGGCGAGAAGGAGAAAGGTACTTCAGAATCAGACACCGTATACAGAAAATATTATTAATGCGGCTTTCTTTTGGGCATGAAAACATGCGCGATGTGGGAAACACGTTACAATGCTTGTTTGCAGTGCTTCAACCTCATCTGCTTTTTGACAGCTTATAATTACAATTTCGTTTTTTGTTTTACAAATATATTTGAAATATTGCTTTTATAACAGCTTTTTAAAAGGTTGTTTACATGGTTTTGATTAGGAGAGGGTGTAAAGAAGCAGCGTGATGGTGGGAAAGTGGCTGTCACAGAGTTTGCAATGTTTATGGGCTTGTATTGGATTGCTTGATAACAGGCCACGCCCACTCTGCAATGCAATGAACCTATCAGAGACCAGTTATACTTGGAAAAACCAAATATATTTGTAATCTTGGTATACTATGCATATATAGTTTCCAAAATGTCAAGTATGTATGGTTTTTGAAGTATAATATATGTTATATATACAGCCAAACCAAAAATTATTCAGACACCAGATATAATTTTTTATATTTTTTTTCTAGCGGGTGCAGGACACTATAGTTCATTTATGTAAGTGAGGGTAGCAAAATAAGGTAAACTGTGACATATTATACCCAAAAATGTTTCATACAGTGGAATAGCAGTAAAATTGATAAAAATTTGGGACCAAAAATTATTCAGACACTTTGGCCTGACCATGTTTTGCTTAAGTGTTTTTTTTCTTTAATTGCTTATGCAACATTTTTACACCAGGGACTGAACAATATTAAGCATTGATTGGTAATTGGTTGACCTAAATTGGTGTTATCTAATTGTATACTTAAATTTAACAGCTGACAGTCTAATTCATTGCATATCTTTCTATCAAAGTTATCTGACATTATCAAGATGAATTTGTTCTGAAACCATTTAACTCTTAATTTATTACCAATTTCTAAACTATTGCGAATAAACTGTGATAATGTGAGAAATGTTGAAGGTGTCTGAATAAATTTTGGCTTGGCTGTATCAGTGTTTCTCAACTGGTTTATCACAACCAAAAAATTTACCACAGATCTTTTTTTATGGGGTCACAGATGGGAGGAAAAAAAGAAAAAAAAAAAAGCAATAATACTAATAATACTAATATTTCAACAGTAGAAAATGCTTCCCATATATTTTATTTTATGAATAATTTTATCATTTATCGTTATCAAAATATATGGAAAATACATTTGACATCAATTGGCAACCCAACACAATATTTAACCTATTTAATGTTTAATGTAGTCTGGCTGTTTTTTTATTTTTATTTTTTATGAATGGTTCCTATTGCTGTTTTGAATATAAATATGTATTTGATTTGATTCTTATTCTTTATTTAACAAAATTTCAAATATATGTGTTTTTGTCAGTATGACTGGTCTCTGATTGGTTCACTGAGATGCAGAATGGGTGTGGTCTATTATCTAGTAATCCAATACAAGCTCATATACCAGTTTGAGGAATCATATTTGCAAATTGTGTTTGGTGAAATTCATGGTACAGAAATTAAAACTATAATGCTACATGTAAAAAAAAAAAAAGGACAAGAAATATGGTCATCTGTCAGATTATAAATAATGAAAAAGAGCACCTGGTGAAGGAGTCATACGTGTGAATACATTACACTAGCTCGAGTCGATCTCCCTGCACTGCATCCGTCAAGATGAGATCAGCGTCATTCCGCCCGAGGGTCTTTTTACGGTTCACTTGACAGCAGGACTGGCAGATGCTTATTCTCTAAGCCACCGTGACAACCTGAGTCCATTTTTCAGGCTTGAGATCAAATTCGGTGGCTAAATCAGCATAAATATAAAAATGCGGCGCTGCAGGAGAGAACTGTGGGTAAGATTTAAAGTTTCAGTCCTGATTGAAGCCGTCCTGCCACGCGATCGAGTTCCAC